GACGGAGCGGGGGACGGAGACAATCGGGACCCGGAGGGAGACCTGGAGAGGGAGGGCGGGCGCGAGGGAAGGAAGGAAGAAAGGATGGGGCGAAGACGCGCGTCCCGAGAGTGAGCCCTGAGAGTTGGGGATGTGGTCGAATTGGGGTTGGGGGCTGCTGCTGCCGGTGCCTAGCAGTTGCTGAAGGAGAGGACGAGAGGTGGCCAGAGAAAAGGAGGAAGAAGAGGTGGTCGTGGTGAGGGTCGGGGGCCGCGGCTGGGACGCTGGGACCCGTACAGCCGCGGAGTGCGCGCTCCTGGCAGGCTTGGGGAGTACTGGATGGAAGCAGCTCCCTTTCTCTACCCTTTCTCCCTCCCCTCTCCTCTGCCCTCCCTCTCTTCCTCCCTCCGCCCTCTTTGGACGTGGGCTGCAGGCTTCAGCCCACAGGGATGGGACGAGGAACGAGAAGCCCCCCGCGGGAGGAGGAGCCGTGCCGAGCGCCTTGGCCCCGCAGCCGGATGGCGCGCGCCGGGGAGGGGAGGCTGGCCGGGCGGAAGCGGCCGACCCCAGACCCCGACTCCGCGGTGGGTTGGAGGGCGAGGGCCCGGGAGTTGGCGGGAAGAAGGTGAGGTCCTCCGATTTACTTGCGGGATCCCGGTGTCCCAACCTGCCCCGAGTTGGCCAACTCGAGTGTCTCCGCGCGTGGGTTTGTGGAGGGGATTCGGGAAACCGAGAACCTGGCAGTGCTACTTTGTTAGCCTGCTTTTCACCAGGAAAACAAATTGCACCCCTATGCCTAAGCCTACCCTCCTGGTCAGTACCAATTGAGACCCAGTTGGCAGTTCTCCTAGTTGGCAGCTTAAAATGGGAAAGTTCAAGTGATACCGGGGACAGCCCACTCTGGGCCAGCTTTTTCAGGACCTGGTTTCAAACCCATTTCAAACGCCCGGTTCTAAGAAACATCTTCAGCCTACCCGCTGCGTTGTTGCTTCCGGTGGCCCCCTGTTCAGACTCTTTGCGTGTCTCACTGGACTATTCTGGAATCATTTGTTTACCTGGCAGTCCCCTCACTCTTAGGGGAGCTCCTTCCTGGAATGCATGACTGTACCCCTTCTTATCTCTTTAATCCCACTGCTATTCAGATGAGCTACCTGGCACTCTGTAAATACTTGTTGGCTAAGTGAATACTCCTTATCGCCAACAGAACTGGAGGTCAGCACAATACTCTGCAGAAGGTCAAAGCACCAAGTACTCAACATCTGGCCTGGTCAGAATCCAACCTCAGAAGGATCGCAGAGCTTGTTTCCTCATCTATGTAATGGGAGAGTTATATGTAATTTCTCAAGATTTTAGAGGACATTACAGATGGATAGAGTTATAGCACCTAGGGCTCAATTCCTGACGAGTTTAGGTTTACATTACATGAAAGTTAACATTATTATTAAGGAGGTGGCCATTTTCCCCCCAATACTGAATTATTTAAGTTTTTGAATTTGACTGCTACAAACTAAAATTTTAAATTTCAAGCTGGGCCTGGTGGTGTATGCCTGTAATCCCAGTGACTCAGGAGGCTGAGGCTGAAGGATCATAAATTGTAGGCCAGCCTCAGCAATTTAACAAGATCCTCAGCAATTTAGGGACACTGTCTCAAAATAAAAAGAACTGGGGATTTTGCTCAGTGGTAAATTGCCCCGTTCAATGCTCAGTACCAAAAACAATTTATTAAAACAATTTTTACTCCATATATTGATAGACTCTACCTCACTTCTAACACCTAGGAATTCTCAGTGCACTGCTGTTCCTTCTGTACCTAGCACCAATCACGACTTCTAATTATTATTTGCTTGCTTAACCATTTACAACTCCCCTTACTCCCCACCCCACCCCCAACTAGACATTCTTTACCCTACACTGGTCTAAGTGCTATTGGGGCCAGGGTGGAGGAGGTGGTGGGAGTTTGAAGATAAGAGCCCTGCCTTTAGGGAGTTTGAAGTGGTGTTGTGGAGACAAGATACCCAAAACAACTCCACAGCAACATAATCACAGAATCCTGGTTCAAATTATAGTAAGCAAAACAATTTTTTTCCTCTTTCTTTCTTTCTTTCTTTTTTTTTTTTTTTCTCTCTTTAAAGGAGTTATAAAGAGAAATGCAGTAGTGGTACTTAGGTTTACATATTGAGTTTTTCTTGGGGGTGGTGGTCTGAAGGTTTTGAAAAAAAAAAGTTGTTAAAGGGAGAAAAAAAAATCTCTTTCATTGCTGACACAATGTCATTGCTCTCCATAGGAACTGTATATCCTGGAGGGAAACAAGCCAAGAGTCTATTGAAGCTGCAATTGAAAAAATTCAGAAGAAGCAAGGCTACCATGAATCAGGAAACTTTGCCCATGTTTTGATGCATTGATTGTGTTAATTGGCATCCCATCCCCATGCCCGCTTTACCTCAGTTATATGAAGAACCACGAGGGGGCAATGTCTTCCTGAGCAATAGCTGATGGTGGTCCTGAACCCCTGTGCTGGCCAGTAACCAGCACTTTGCCCTCCTTGGCCGTTCTTGCCTGTTACTGAATACATTCCACAGAAAGGCATTGTTTTGCTGGAGCCTGGCAGGGACCCAAGAAAAATGACAATTGATCTAGTCCTTGATGGTTCTAGTCAGACCCCACTTAGTAGGTAGAAAATGTTGTGACTGCAGGATGCTGGGAGAACCTTCCCTTCCCCCACTCAGGGAAATGTGGCTTAATTCCAAATATAGAACCTGATTCTTTTGTATTTAAGCCAACCAGGATTTTGTCCATTGTTAAAAGTCAGAAACCTGTGGGATAAGAAACAAAACCAAGTTCCATGAGAGGAGCCATGTCTGGCTTACTCATTGTTTTGTTTCAAACATCTAGACAGTGCCTAACACATAGTAGGCACATAATTTTTAAAAACTTATTTATTTATTGCTTTTTTTGGGGATTGAACCCTGGGGCACTACCACTGAGCTATATCACCAACCGTTTTTTGAGACAGGATCTCCCTAAATTACCTGACTGGCCATAAACTTGGATTCTTCTGCCTCAGTAACTGGAATCACAGGCATGTGCCACTGCACTTGGCCACTCAGTTATTTTTTAATGAATTAAATCTTATCAGGTACTAATTATTGGACTTGGCATTATGGGATACTTTCAAGATCCTGGGAGAAGGACTGAATTATTGGAAGACTCTTTGAGTGGAGACTCATCACAAGGTCACTGGGCAGGATCATGGCATGAGTCTTTATTCATTATTTTGTGAGGGGTAGGACCTAGATAAAAACTTTGTGCAGAGTGGAACAACTAATGAGATTTCAACAAATAAAAGGTAAAATCACACCACGGTCTTGACACAACAAGCAACAGAGTTGAGAAGACAACAGGATACCTAAAATTTATATAGTCACTGGGAAGGGGAAATGCAGGGTGTTTGCAGGAAAGCGGAGAAGAATGGGATAACATGGCAGGAGGAAAGGGATTTCTGTTTGCTGTCCTTTCCATGAAGAATGGTTTAGACTTGTTTGGAAGAAAAATCAGTAACGTATTATCAACAAAACCCAAGGAAAATCTATAAACAGACTTCCACTATTTATAAAACTTTATAACAGAAGGGAAAGAGGGAGAGAGGGAGGAGGGAGGATGTTCCTTCAATCAGGATATAAATGATCTTTATGACTTGTTTACTACTTCAAAGAAAGTTTCAAAAGTAAGATCACTTGGTAGTGATAGTTTCCAGACCTACTAAGAATCATAAGATAACAAAGGGATGTTATATCCTGGAAAAATTGGGCTAATGACCAAGAGACATCTGCCTTCTCCCCTGTCCCCTGCCCTACCATATTTCTGTCTGGCCTACAAGGTAACATGCCAGATTGAAAAGGAAATACTGTATGCACCTGTAGTTTTTATGACTCATCACTGTGTCTCTGGCAGTGTTCCTTTTGAGGCTTGCTCTAAGAAATCCAAACCTATAATTATGTCTTAAATGTTTGTCTCTGGGAATTGCAGACATTAAAGATCTATTTTGAGGCTATTTGCATGGCATGGGCTCTAGACCTGTGCTAGCTTTGCAACAGAAAGCTGCAGTGTCTACCATGTGTTGTGATTGTTAAAATCTTCCACAGAGCCAGGGAAGTTCTCGAGGTCAAAGGCTGTTTTACTGCTGTCTGTCATACCCTCTCTCCCTCACCCTGCTGCCATCCTCCTCCAGGCCATCATCGTCTTCCCTGTTCTTATATATTTATGATCTTGGTTTTTTTTCCTCTCATAGTAGCAAAAGATACATAATATAAAATTTACTATCTTAACTATTTGAAGTACACATTTCAGTAGTGTTAAGTATATTCACACAGTTGTGCAACTTCCCCCTGATTTATTTTAATTTTTACTTTTAATTTGTTCTAATTAGTTATACATGACACATTGTACACATGGAGCACAACTTCCCTCTGATTTTTACCTCTTTAATAGTTCTGAGATCCATTCACTTTCCTGTGATCACTTGAGGAAGCCCATGCAGCCACATACAAAGGCTGTCCTGGAGGAGAGTCCAGGTTGCTGGCCTACCCCCTGAGCTGGGCTCTCAGCAGACAACCAGTACCAATTTGCCAGCCTTGTGAATGAACTGTCTTGAAAGTAGATACTCCAGCCCTAGTTGGGCTGCCCCAGCTCATGTGGAAGAGAGATGAGCTTTCTTCAGCAAATGGTGTCCACATTACAAAATTGTTAGTAAAAAGTGAATA